GACTCAGCAGGGCGTATTTCTCAATAGACATGGTTGCATTCAGGGCTTTTTTATCCGGAACTCACCAGAATTCAGTTCCAGCACCTCCCAGGGAGATGTCATTGCCATTATAATAGAACACGTGAGGTGTTCATGGTGAGTTCTGGCACCTCTTTTTCTAGAAAAATAGCACTCCTTTAAAAATGCTGTGTAAATTGCATGTAGGCTGTAATCCCAGAGACGTTTACTTTGGAGTAAGTCTCATCGAGCTCAATGGGATTTATTTTTGAGTGGACATGTACAAGATTTTGAGCGAGCTCCCTTTCCTCTTTTGGTGTGGGTGCCATCACCGCTGCAGCTCCAAGATGGGCAAGTTTCTGAAACCAAGGAAAGTCGTCCTTGTCCTCGCTGGGCGTTACTCTGGACGCATAGTTGTTATTGTTAAGAATATTGATGATGGCACCTCTGACCACCCCTACAGCCACGCTCTGGTGGCTGGCTTCGATAGCTACCCATGCAAAGTGACGGCCAGCATGGACAAGAAGAAGATTGCCCAACATTCCAAGTCTTCTGTGAAGGTCTCCAATTACAATGACATGAATACCTACCAGGTACTCTGTTGATATTCCCCTTGACAAGACTGTTGTCAACAAGGGTGTCTTTAGACGTAAAGCCTGGTGAAAGGCCAAAGTGAAATTTGAGGAGAGATACAAGACAGGCAAGAACAAGTGGTTTTCCCAGAAACTCTGATTCTGAGTGGCATGCATTTGCACCAAAAAATATTTTTGAAAAGCGCCCCCCCAAAAAGATTGCACTGTTCCCATTGAAATCATGACTAGCTTGGTTTCAATGGGACTCATATTCAACTAACTGAAATGGTGCAGCCATTCAGCACATTGGATGCATTTATTATATTCCTTCGGTTTGTCAACTGCCAGAAAATTCTCTGGAGGGTTCAGTAATCCCTCGCATTGATAACTCTCTGGCAGGGCGGGGCAGGAGGACAATAACTGGTCATCCACCTTTGCAGGATGCATTGCCTGGTTATTTCAGTCTCTCTTTTTGTATCTCTGCACGTAGTCATTTGCATGCAACTTGCTCTCAGCTGTGGCGTATTTGTTTCGTGGACTCCTAGTGCATCCTGTGGTTCTGTCGGGTGGCTGTCAGCATCTCCCATGGCCAGTGGTCCAGAAACATACAAAGACAAGGAAATGTTTCTTACCGTCTGCTTTTTATTCAATATTTACAGAGAGAGGCTAAAGTATCCAGCCTCTTGGATAATGGGTGTTGTCCCAAGTGAATCTCCACCCCCATGTCTCCCATTTCCTCATTCGTCATATCTATGGGTGCTGCTACCTACGTGCCCTCTGCTTTTGAGGTCTTTGCTCTCCTACTTTCAAGGCTCGCCGAGTTCTGGGAGAGATGGGGTCTGGAATGCTTTCTAAAGACACTGTGTCCGTCAGCTGTCGCCCCCTTGGTGCTTCCTCTTCCTCCTCCTCCTCTCCCATTATTCCCAACTTTCCCAGCTCATCTGCCTCTGAGCTGTGACCTCCCTCAAACCCCTGTTGTAATTCTGAACTGTCTCCATCTTCTCTGGAAGGGTCAGGCTGGGGAGGCGGTCTCCACCATTCCTCCTCTGCCCAGTCCTTGACAGGTGTCTCACTTGATCCGAGCCATGCTAGCATAGCTGCACCAATGTTTCCTTTATTGTGAAATATTGCATAAATGACTGTATATTTATATTCATTATGGTTGCAGTAGCCCACAGCTCCATGTGCATATGGGTCCAAATGTACACAGAAAGCAGTACATGACCAGAACCGGCCTCTCATTGCAGCACTGAGTGGCTCTCTCCTCACATATTACCTGTACGCTGTTGCTGAAATTACTGAAAGTGAGAAAATGTTGGTAACATACTAAATGTAGGATCAGAGGCATCAAAATATCAGTCTCTGGGTGACAGCAGGAGGAGATTTGCCCTCATCCACTCCTGCTGTAGGCACCTATTTGATCACTACGGCTTTTTGTATGTTCTTATGAACGTAATGAATTCTGCAAGAGACCTAAGGGGAAGTTTTTCAGGCATCGCAAATTACAGCCATAGCTAAAAACATGAAGCTCATTCATAAATTTAGTGCTCATTAATAAAGCTGGTATTACTGTGTTGTCAATTTAAAAAGAAATACAGCAAGTTGACCAATTTCTAGTGGCAACCATATTTTTTAGTAAACAAATTCCTATTTTCTGTATTGTGACTTAACTGTCGTATGTTTGTAGATTTGTTGCATTCATCTAAATGGCTGGGAATTGCTTGCAAATAGTGCTAACCCCTATATATCCATTAATTTATTCATTGCTACTGGCATTATGTTAGACAAAACAGAGTCATTTAGCACTCTGGAGAGTTAAACCATGCCTAAATTAAATGGTTTTCTACATTTTCCCCCATTCAAGAAACAGGATGAAATTAATGTCCTATGGTTGTCTAGGTGTTGACTTTTTTCCCTAAGATGAAAACAAGTAAGAGTCTTCTACTGCCCTTTAGGTAGCTGAAACGGGAGGTGTTAATTGCTTGCCCAGTGAAGAAAATGCTGAGATTTTAACTCTGCCTTAAATCTTAATTGTGACCTTTATTCTCCAGACCAACATCTTTTATTTCAAAGAGAAGCAGACAAAAATAAGTGTGGGGTTCCTTATACATCCTTTATCTCTGTTATAGCACTCAGCTTCTATTCTTTGTCATTTTTTTCTCAACATCTATTTTTGCCACACACCCTTTCATGATGTTGCATTTTCATTGATCTTGGTCTGCTCTAAATAGCAGACATAAAGTGCAGCGTCATTCAGCATAAGCAGACCTGAGTAGAAAATGCATTCATGCCCTTTTTTCACACCTTCCATTGACTGCCTAACACTAACACTAATCCAGAGATGTCTGGAGGTGGTTCAGTATTTGCTAGTGTGAGTCTTTCCTTGGTGGACAACAGAAAATGTTAGCTGATACCTTGATCAAGATAGCAAACTTTTTATAAATGAATGGAAATGGTTTGTTGAATATTTACAAATAGCTTGTACACAGATAAGAACATTGGCAGGATTATTGTAATAACCTGCAGTTTTATTAGAGTACATATTTAAAGTAGGTGAATAAATGAGCAAATTAAGTTAATTTGCATATCCAGAAGAGATTAAAAATAAATTTAAGAAACCACAGAAAGAGGAGGAAGGAATGATTATAAAATTATTGAAATGTATAAAACTGAAAATCATAAATAAAATAACAGATAAATCCAAAAAAGAAAAGAGAAAATGTTAGTTTTTGGTCATTTATCAGTCTGGGACAGTAGCAAAAATTCTGGCAAGTGAATACACATCGGCTCTTCAAGCTGTAAATTGTGGTAAATACCTTACAATTAAGATGTGAAGTTTACACATTTTTGTAGACCAATAACAAGGGAAGGATACTTTTGGGAAATTAGGCTCAGTGTCTGTTCATCATTGATAATGTGGTGTTCCTTACATATCCAGGATGTGGCTTAAATTGCATTGATTTTTAGATTGGACATTTTGTGTGTGTTTGTGTGTGTGTGGTCAATTTCATGTTTCCTAGTTATACACTATTATGCACTAAGTTTCTGTTATGCACTGTATATAGGATATAGTCTGATATTTGCAACCTAGCTTGATTATTTGTGTGGAACCTACCTTCTTTTACTTACGAGACTGTAGCTGAAAGTAAACAAGAGAATGTTCTAAGCGACAAAGCCTGAAGAACGCACAACAGATATAGGGTGTTGCAGTCACAGGGGAGGCACTTTATAGAGTATATCAAAGTGTCATTTGAATATTTCATTTGTATTTTTTAGGGCAAGTCAACATCCAGATTGTACCATATGGTTCAGCACAAAAACCTTTCTTTCTTTTGAAATCAGCTATTTTCTGACTTGTCTCCCTCTGCTGTACCCTCTATAAAACCAAATTAGCTCCTAGATAAATAGCTCCATCTGATTCATTCAAGTTCGAGAATCGCTAAAGCCTAAGAATCTTAAGGATCACCTGTTCAAATGGCCTCTCGTTGTTAGGCTACAAACTATGCTAAGAAAGAGCATAGTTGCAGTCAGGGCTTTTTTTTTTCAACCGAAACTCAGTTCCGGCACCTCTCAGGTGGGTGCCATTGCTATTACAAGAGAACAAGTGAGGTGTTCATGGTGAATTCTGACACCTCTTTTTCTAGTAAATTAGCACTGGCTGCAGTGCACATTTCCAAATGCACTGCTGATGATTCCTATTCTGTGAATGCTGCTTCGTTGTCCCCCTCCCCCATCAAATGAGCCAGCGATGTTCAAATTTTCTAGCTTAATGCAAGAAGGGCTTTTCACTCTTGCTAGAAGCTCAGCCTTGCCCTCACCGGTTCTGGAAGGCTCCTATAGAAGAGTCCCGTACGCACAGAGACTTTGCGCCTGCCCATTAGGGGAAATAGGAAGCCCCGAACATTTATATTTTTAGATGTCCTTTTTATGTTGAGATTCGTAGAGACACCATTGATCCTTTGCTAAAGAGGCTCGCCGATCTTTCAGACAAGTCTAAACCAAATTCTCTCCTCTTAGGCAAAGATCACAAGATGACCTGGCTGGTAGCCAGATTCTGCGCCCAGATTTGTAGGCACAGATCATCCTCTAGAATAAAACAGCTTACTAGGGAAATGCTGAAGTCGCCCTTTGGGGGTGCCTCAGGGTCTATTTTTATGGTAGCCCAAATCTCAGTTGTATGGGTGTATGTATATATTTCAATTTTAACTCATGAGCTATTGCTGCAATCTGCTCTGATTGTATATTTTATCTTTATGAATGCTGTTTTTATTGTGTTATGCGAGCTGGTCTTTGACCATAATAAATTATCTACCTATCTAGCTTAAGAGAATCCCTGCATATCTGCCATGGAACCCTACAGACATCTGCTAATAAGTAGATGCCCTTTATTATTGGCAGTTCATAGAATTGTAGAGTTGAAAGGGAATCCTTTGCCCAACGAGGGGCTCCAACCCACGATCCTGAGATTGAGTCTCGTGCTTTACCGACTGAGCTATATAAGTATCTTGATCGAACCATTTGGAAAAATTGAGATACATTAAATGACTAGAAACTCTCTTGAAAACATACAGTAAAGAAATTAATTATTCCGGTGTGTATATATCTCACGAGGCAACCCAGTGGTTTTAGTCCCTTTGTCTCTCTTCATTTTATTGCAAGGCACAAAATAGTTTCAGTAAGTAGTTTTTCTCACTCACACAGAGAAAGATAGAGCGGTGGAAGATCTGGCTGCTGCAGTGGGGAAGAGATGACAAAACAATGACTTTTATAATTGAAAACTTTGAGGACTGTGAGTTCAGAACAGCCAGCAAAGCTTTGCCTGTTGTATTTGATCCCACTTTATTGACATGCTTTGGTATCTGTTTAGTATATAGAGACCATTACACAACTGATTGGATACGCTGGGCTGTCAAATAATTTGATTTCACTGGAGCATGGTGTCTACAAATATCGGTTGGGGACAGGTTTATGGGCCCCCCCACGTCTTGGAGGCTGCAGTTGATGGTTTGTGCAAGTTGGCTTCAGGCTTGGAAATGTATTTCTGGTTGTGCTATGCCTTAACAGAAAGAAAGAGGTTTCTGTTTTTCTGCAATAAAATGAAAGCAATAATCAATGTACTCTACGATAAAATAAATAAGACAGTATTGTAGATGATAACAATTAAAATTATTATTTTTTCCTTACCTGCACTGATGATAGTCATTGTTTGGATGGGGGGCTTTTATCCATTTCCGCAGTCACACAATCAATCAATCTGAAGCTGAACTGGGTCCCACAGTCACAAAAACAAATGAACCGAAAAAGCCTCAAAAACAAAAACGCAAAATAAATAGCAAAAATAAAAGTGCCAAACTTAATCCATTCCGGAAGTCCGTTTGACTTCTGAAATGTTCAAAAACCAAGGCTCAGTTTCTGATGGGTGCTGGCGCCCCGGAAACAATGGCAGACAGCTGCATCAGCCAATTGGCTTCCAGAAAATGTTAAAAAACCAGAACACTTACTTCTGGGTTCTCGGCATTTGAGAACCAAGGCGTTTGAGAACCAAGGTACCACTGTATCAGCAAATAATAATTCAACAGAAATTCACTCTTAAAAATTACAATAAATAATTTCTAAACTATAATCAATGAAAATAACAGCGAGTCACAGTGCATAAAATAACACAATACAAATTGAGAAGCAAAGACATATAACTTATAAAATTATTTTAAAATTATTATTTTTTTAAATAAATGATGCATTTCCCTGGTTTTCAGTTGAAGTAATTGGGTGGCTACCAAGCACATCAGACTGGTGCACACACTGATTTTCTCTCATTTATCTTAGAAAATAAACACTTGCAGTGCTATGACCTAGAAGACCATGGTCTCAATCCTCACTCAGCCATTAATCTCACTGGGGGAACCTTGGGGTTAGTCACTGCCTCTCATCCTAACCTACCTTTGCAGTGGTACACCTTGAGCTCATTGGAGGAAAAAGTGCTACATAAATATAATGAACAGATAAATAAATAACAGTGGGGAGGCTAACCTTTTCGGAGCCAAGGGCCACAGTGACACATGGCCAACGCCTCTGAGAGTGCATTTCAAAATCGACAGGGCCAAAGTGGTGTAACAGTTCCAAGGTGATTTTGCAATTGTGAATTAGGTCCCATGGTTTGAATCTAGATCATGCAGCGTGGCCAAAAGGAGACATAATTTCTGTTCCTATAGAGCAGTTATGAAACATGTCATTGGGTGGGGGAGAGAGAGAGAGAGAGAGAGAGAGAGAGAGAGAGAGAACAAAGCACAAGAAAATCATAAATGAAATATAATCTCTAAAAATATCAGGCACCTACACACATCAGACGCTTGCAAGTGTCCCGATTTCACAGGGAAAGTCCTGGAATTACAGAAGCCATTCTGGTTTCTGATTTGATCCCAGACTGTTCCTCTTGCCCTTTTTGAAGGATGTCCCTCTTTTCATCAGAGAAAGATTGGAGAGGATGGAATAGGATGGCCCTATGTATATTCAAGAAACATTGGAGGGGATGGAATAGGATGTCCCTCTTTTCATCAGAGAAAGGTTGGAGAGGATGGAATAGGATGTCCCTCTTTTCATCTGAGAAAGGTTGGAGGGAAATGGAATAGGATGTCCCTCTTTTCATCAGAGAAAGGTCGGAGAGGATGGAATAGGATGTCTCTATTTATACCTGAGAAATGTTGGAGGGGTTGGAATAGGATGTGTCCCTCTTTTCATTGGATAAATGTTGGAGGGGATTTATGCATGCATGTCCACACACCCAGTATGGTCCTGGGGCCTGAGGGTATATGATAAAGCTGTCTTGCTGAAGCTTAGCTGATTCAACAGTGGTTAATCTGTAGAGAGAAAACTGTACACAGGGAGAAGCATACAAACAGGTTTTTAAATTTCTCCTGAATGTTAAGAATAAAAGAGACAGATGCCTATCACCAGGGAAGACATTCCACAAAGGGGAACCAGCCACCCAGAACACCTGTTACAGGGTTATATAAAGGAAACAACAACAACAACAACAACATTTTATTAATTTATGAATTGCCTTTCACATAAGTCTTGGGTCATTTTACAATCATGAAATAAAAACAACCGAAGATAGGCATGAAAGCAAATGAACACCCAAAGGCAAAGACCATATATTTTCTAGCTGGAAAAGCTTGTTGAAACAAAAAATGCCTTCTGTTGTTTCCGGAAAGTACAAATAGTGGGTGTTCGTCACATAATAATCATTTCAGACAATTATAAGCCTCGGGCAAAAGATTTAAGGGGCTTGGATTAAAATGGCAGATAGATTGTGTGTGATGTTAGCAATTTACTGTTTCTTAGCTTCTGTCTCTCATCTGTAAAACTGGCTTAATCATAATCTCCTTCACAGGGCTGATTTGAAGGTGAGGGAGGGACTGTAAATCTCTTGGTGTACCAAGGCATAAAGCTTGCACCTTGTTATGCATTTGCAAGTCCCACTGAAACCAATGGACCGTAATGTATTGGATTGAAACCATAGCATTCTATAGACACAGTAAAAAGAAGATGGGTGGGCGAGATGCAATTATCCTTTTAAAATATAGGCAAAGCATAGGCGGCGGTAAAATCCACTTAATTTTATGACCAGGGGTGTTTAAGATTTAGTAAGAAGGTTACCTTTCTTTAAACTGGTCATTAGACAAATTTCCAAAGGTAAGCTGTCTCTGAGCATATTAGGCGCTCACTGAGACTATTGAGTATTTTAGTGTTACAGATCCGAGCAAAAGCTGTTTACTTTTCTTAAGATGGGCTCTTGCAGAATCCTAACTGGAGGCTCTTTCAGTGATGTCCTTTAGAAAGAAATCAGTGTGTCATCTGCCAGCTGTTTCTCTGTAAAATGCATTAAGAGTACACAGCTAATTAGGACTGACCTTTTCCAATATTCATCACACCGTCGCTTTACCGTGCTGAAACTTTGCTTTCAAGAAGATGCCGAGGATCTTTGCATAAAGGGACTATGACTAGTTTTACATTTTTTCTTTTGTTATGGTAGCTTCAAGAATCTTCCCCAGGTAGAGATAAGGTGATTATTTTATGTTGTTGTTCTCATTTCTATTACACGGAATGATGCAGCAAGGCAATGAATGGAACAGCGGGGAGAAGCTTTGTTCGATTGTTTCACCATCCGGCTTCATTCAGCCTAATTCTTGCATAATTTTTTTTTAAAAAAAAATCAATTAAATGAGGATGAGGTGGCCTTCCAGATGTTGATGGATTCTGACTCATACCATCTCCATGTCAGCATGGTCCAATACACTGGGGTGATGGGAATTGCGAGTCCAGAAAAATCTAGAATTAAAATAAAAGAGGTTGCTTTTTCAACTTGTAACAAAGGACCAGTTTGGGAGTCACGGAAGCAGAGGGATATGGTAGATTTCTTTGTGATATAGCACATAGGGACAGCTTATGCAAACAGATAAAGGACCTTCTCAGTGCTATTTTTCTAGAAAACGAGGCAACAGAACTCATAATGAACACCTCCCCTTGTTCTCGTATGGTGTCCACCTGAGAGGTGCCAGAACTGAGCCCTGGCGAGTTCCAGCTAGAAAAAAAGCCCTTGACCTTCTTAATTTGACAGCCAATATCATATGCTCTCTGGCCCTCTACTGATGTTTCTATGCTCAGCTGACTTGTTGACCCCAGCCCCTCCTCTTCTCTGAATTTCAACAGAGTTCATTAGCATGAGACCATAGTTGCATGTGGAAACTTGGAGAGAAAGGTACAGGACAGACTTGTTTCCTCCCAAATATGGTACTGTCATGTCTGTAGGCTCCACAGATAATTGGGTACATTAGCCCAAAGCAGAGACAACACCTTGCCGACAAAGGTCCGTACAGTTAAAGCTGTGGTTTTCCCAGTAGTGATGTATGGAAGTGAGAGCTGGACCATAAAGAAGGCTGATCGCTGAAGAATTGATGCTTTTGAATTCTGGTGCTGGAGGAGACTCTTGAAAGTCCCATGGACTGCAAGAAGATCAAACCTATCCATTCTGAAGGAAATCAGCCCTGAGTGCTCACTGGAAGGACAGATCCTGAAGCTGAGGCTCCAGTACTTTGGCCACCTCATGAGAAGAGAAGACTCCCTGGAAAAGACCCTGATGTTGGGAAAGATTGAGGGCACAAGGAGAAGGGGACGACAGAGGACAAGATGGTTGGACAGTGTTCTCAAAGCTACCAGCATGAGTTTGACCAAACTGCGGGAGGCAATGGAAGACAGGAGTGCCTAGCGTGCTGTGGTCCATGGGGTCACGAACAGTCAGACATGACTAAACGACTAAACAACAACAACAGCAACAACAGCCCAAAGTTCATGCAATGGCACTCTTGTAACTGAAAGCAAGTGAGAATCACTTGTCAAAGATTTACTTCTCCGGGGCGGGGAACCTGTGACTCTCCAGCTCTTGTTGGACTTCAACTCCCATTAACTCTTATCATTGGCCATGTTTTCTGGAGATGATTGA